TCCCAGTGGGCAGCCTGACTCCCAAGACAGTGCTCCACACAGGACGAGTCAGTGCTACACACAGCACAGGACGGGGTCAGCTATTTCTTTATCAATCTTTTCAGGTCTGGCTCCCTCTCCCTTCCTTTTTTCCCTCTTTTTTTTACTTTGTGTGTGTTTTCACTTTTTCTTCTTTTCTCCTCTTGTTATAACTCTTCTCTCTATCCTACCACAGCCTCAGCACATTAAGTTCTCCTTTATTGTTTTCTTCTTTCTTTATCCCCCCCCCTTTTTTTTAATGGTTTCACTTTTGTTTACTCTGTGCATTCCAGTTGAGTGTGGGTGAGTGGATGTCAGTTTTCTAGACATTGTTGCTCCAGTATGTGTCTTCCTCTTTCTCCCTTTCTCCTCTCCTTTCAATCTCTTTCCTGTCACAAGCCACTAGCAGCCTCTAGGCCACTCCCCTTTGCCTAGGGCAACTCTGAAGGCCCAAGTGGGGGAGCTACCACCCGCATTTATAGGCCTGGAAAACACCTGGGGAATTCAAGCCAGTCCTCTTCCACACACCAAGCAGCAAGGGGTTCTCCCCTACAAAAAGTGGGGCCCTCCCCAGCCTAAATCCCAAGGCCCTACAAGTGACTGGGGGAAATGCCTGGCCACCATTGGTGGGGCTCCACGCTACTGCAGGAACACCCGCCCAATCTCCAAAGTGATCTCTCTGTCTACAGTAATTCCCCTACCAGCTACAGAGCTCTACACCAAGGTGGGTATACCCACACACCCTCGTCAGCACTCCAGTTGCAGAGGAAAACACCACAGGCCAGCTGAGGTGCTCCAAGGACAGTGAAGCCTACTTAGAGATTATCCAGGGAAGCAAGGCCCTCGTGGGCCCACAACAACCCGACCAGTGTCACATGAGAGGAATATCCAACATACATTCCGAATAACGGAATACCGGATGGCTAGGAACAGAGTAAAACCACAGGAAGATATAGTGATAGCCGGACTCCTCAGTACAGCTACTGGCAAGTAGTTCACAGAAGATCTCATATGAGTCCCCCAAGAGAGAGCCCAGGGCTCTTTGACTCAGGAAGATGGCTCCAGGCTCCTCTAAAACAACACGTAAACAGCTACCAGTTCTAACAGCTTCAATGGAAAAG